GTGGTTTCAATGCATCACTGAAGGTTTAAAAAGTCTGATAATGCTATGATAACTGATTTCTGGTTCATTTTCTGTATGTGATTGGTTGACTATCAAAAAAGATACTCGTCCTAATAATTTTTCTTGCAGTTCTACTGTGAAATAAAGAACCTTTGGTCCAAAGAGTGGACAATTTTCATTCTGATTCCATATTTTTTTATGCTTGCCCTTATGTACTCATGCTTGTTTGCAGTTTATTGTTGATAAGAATTTGAATAAATGAGACCATTGATCCTTTGGTTTATTTTACATTTGATTCTGGTCTCTTGTTTATTTGAAATGGTGATAAGTTTGTTTGATATGGTATATCTTTCTTTGCAGGATTAACAAAGTTGGAGAGCCTGAATATAGATTCATGTAAAATTGGTGATGAAGGCCTTGCTAATTTGATAGGTTTCTATATCATGTTTCATTTTGCTGCTAGTTAAACTGTTATGTTGGGAGGATCTCTGTTTGCTTTAAACATTTTCATGACCTAGTTTATCTTGTGATTTGCTCTTCAGGCCTTTCACTCCTCAAAAGTCTAGAGTTGTCTGATACTGAAGTTGGAAGCAGTGGGCTCCGATACCTCTCTGGTTAGTAATCTATCTCTTATCATCTTGCTTGTGTGTGATATGACCCTTGATATTAGCTATAAGCATGACACAATTTCAGTGATACTTTTAGAAACCTATCTTCCGGTTAGCCCCGCTCTTACCTATAAAATTGTTCACAGATTTTGTTAAGTTGCTTTTCTTTGAGGAATCATCTTTTTTATTGAGTTAACAAGATATACATTTGAAATGGTTCTTTTACTTGGATTTCTTTGACTTATTGCTCCATTTCTGTTTCCTTCTGTATATGATGATGTGTTGGAGAAAAGAGAAACATTTGATACTTTCGGTTCTTCCATATATACGTTTTTTCATTTGTTTCTGAAATTTTATTTATGCCTTACACATTGACACTGGATGTCAGCTGAATATATGTTAATGAATAGAATGTATTACAGAATTCACGGCAATCATATTGTTATAGTGTTTGCTTCATCAATGACCTAACAAGGCAAAGCAACAAATCTTTAAGATTAGGGTTGTGGTGTTATAAACCATCTATTATGATCCTTGCTCTTTTCCACATGGTTCTTTATTAAATTATATGTTCTTGGTTTCAATTTTTTCTGAAATTTTCAGTGCATTATAATGTTAAATGCATGATGCTGACTTGGTTCTGTTATATTAGGATTGACACATCTGGAGACCTTGAATTTATCATTCAGTTTAGTGACTGATAGTGGTTTACAAAAGTTGTCTGGATTTACTGCTCTTAAGTCACTTAATCTGGATGCTTGCCAAATTACAGATGCGGGGCTGTTGGCTCTGACAAGTTAGTACTTTCACTTATTTCTTTGTAACATTCTTCTAACTTTGTGCATCTAAGTTGGAGACATTCTGGTGTGCCTTTGATCCTATTTATGGCTTTTTGAAATCTTATGGTTGTATCTTTTGGTTGAAGTCTCTTTGCTGTCTTTGTGGAGTGAAGAAATTTGGAGCTATATTTTTCCTTGATTTTTTTGTTTTACAAGGTGACCACTGTGAAATGTAGGTTGTCGACCCCTTTTTCCTTGCCTTAGATTGTTACCGGATAGCCAGGTTTGGAGTCATAAATTTTGCTGAGCTTTCAGCTATGAATGTTTCCTTATATAAAAACATTGTGTCTCTAGATGGAGAAATCTTTGAAAGCAAATAAATAATTTTTGAACAGATCAGAGAACTCTGATTCATTATTGACATTACATGAAAGTAAATAAATAATAACTTAAAAATCCATGGACTGGATCATTCATTTTTTGTGTTAAGATGGCAAATTTCTTACCTTATTTTCATCCGTGGCTATTGGTGTATAGCTGTATATTGAAACCTGTTTCATAATGTTATTCACCACTCAGGTCTAGTGTATTCTTCCGTTTTAAGAATCTTATATCAATTATTGCTGCACCAAGATGTCTGTAGTGACATAATTCATTTTCCAAAAGCTAAGTCTAAGTGGGCACCAAATTGCTGCTCCATTGTCAATATTTTATTCACACTTCTCTATCTTTCTTCATTGTGTAATGTTTTAAGGATGTATGAAGTCATCACATTTCTGATTTTGCTGATGCAGGTTTGACTGGACTGATGCATCTGGATCTTTTTGGGGCTAGGATTTCGGACACTGGAACAAATTATTTGCGATGTATGTCAAAAATATTGACATTGCTTAAATAATTAAAATTGCAAGTTGCTTAATGGACCATTTTTCTTGTTTGAAAAACTTGAATCTATCATTTTGTCATATTCAAGTTTTATTATAGCTTTTAACCTTTGATGTTTTCTTTTTGTTTGTTTGAAAAACTTGATTGTTTTGGTTTGCTCTTTGCCTTGAAGACTGGATAGTTTGGACATACATACTTGAGGAAGTTCAGGAGTAACTTTGAGAAATATAAGGTCCTTTTAGTTGATTTATTGAGGTGTATTTATATCTCCAATGGTAGGATAATCGGTAGGCTCATGAGAACTTTTAGAATCATGTTTATTAAAAGGTTGTTATGGTCTTCATCAATAGGCCTAATATTGAGTTTGGCATAATCTCATTTTCATTGTAAACTTTTCTCAAGAATTTTGTTTTACATGTTCTAATTTTGTGTTAAATGTTCTTGCACCTGCTTGTTTTCATGTTAAACAGGCTTCAAGAACCTCCAATCCCTTGAAATATGTGGAGGTGGTTTAACTGATGCTGGGGTGAAAAATATCAAAGATCTTTCCTCTTTAACGCTATTGAACCTTTCACAAAACTGCAACCTGACAAACAAATCCTTGGAACTGATTTCAGGTAAGTTTTGCTTTTATTCCTCATGGTTTTATTGTGTTTGTTTAGCTTCTTTTTTTTCTCCTTTTTTGGCCATTGTTAGTGCAATTCTTGAATAGAACAAACCTTGCTATGCTTGTATAGAAAATGATACAGAGACATATATAAATAAGACAGCTACTTGTATCTCTAGTGTCAGATTATCTCATCTGGCAATTGTCCCGCTTGGCATTCTGCTGCAGGACCAGTGATTTGCAGTACTTTTGCTACTGTCTAGTAACTTGGTCATGTATGATTAGTTGGTCCAAGAAATGTCTAAACACGCAAAGATGAACGGGCAGTCAGTAAAACTGGTGAATTGAGAGCTTATTTGGGGCCTTCTAATAGTGGCTTCTGAATGTGAAAGTATTCTAGTCCATGGCTTCCATCTGTCTGTGCTCTGATAAAGTCAGTGAGATCTTCTAATCATGGATTTTCATTTTCTGGTGTAAATGCAGGCCTGACCGCATTGGTGTCGTTAAATGTTTCAAATTCTTACATAACTAATGATGGTTTGCTGTATTTAAAGCCTCTAAAGAATTTACGGTCGCTATCTTTGGAATCCTGCAAGGTAACTGCCTCTGAAATTAAGAAGCTCCAGTCAACTGCCCTTCCCAATCTTGTCAGCTTTCGACCAGAATAATATTGCTGGGGCAACTGCAACCTATGCTGTAAATAGCTGCTATCACCTGGAGATAGCTCTCTCAACAATTCAATAAATATATGTTAAAACGTGAAAGGCTGCCTTACTAATGGGGTCAGGGTAATTGTGCTAATTATATGGACAGTCAATGACAGGTGATTGAAAATATGTTTGGCTGCTGAATTTGACATTACCTCTTTTCTTGTTTCAAAAACAAACAAATTTTGTACATATAAATTTTATGTTAATTAACTATTTTCTGCACATTGTCTTCCAAGTTTTCATCTGGAGATTCAAAACAGAAGGCAAAAACCAGAGGGGAAGAGGTTTGACTGTGAGTTGCACTCAATCTGAGTAACTTGTTTCAGGGTATGGTCTCAATCACAAGCATGTAAGCAGAATTACATGTTTGAATGTTTGATGAAATGGAAGCAAAAGCTGAAAATAAATCCTCAATCCTCAATAACATATAGTACAACGAGAGAGTCTATGTTCCTCAATCCAGTGCAAAAATCTATTTCTTCAAAACTAGAAATCAAAATGAGAAACTTGCAGCTAGAAATAACAAATCAATCAGGTAAGCAACAGCAATCTCTAAATTATTTGCAACTAAATAATAAATTCAGCTTGTATATCAATCAGGTAAAAAATAATAAACCTAGTGTTGTAATAGAATGAAGCAAACATTAGATGTCAATTGTCTTCCAGTAGCCTGAGATTGATGCCTACTTCAAATCTTGGGCTTTTTACCTGGCAATATGATGAATTTACCATGCTTACAGTAAATTTTTTTGTGATAAGTTTTTCAGTTTATCACAGGGTAAAAGAACAAAAAAAAAACAGTAATAATTAAGGATTTGGTTTTGCCAAGGAAAATTAATTACCGGACGTGGACCATAATATGAGGCTTCAACCTTATCTGGAGTAACAAAAATTTCATGTCAAAGTGCGACGAATGGACCAAGGATCAGTTTCATCAGAACTGCTTAAACCATAGGGTTTAATTTGAGCTTATTGGGCCTCAAGCCCAACCAAAAAACTTTAGGGCTCTAACGGGTAATACGCGGAGTATTTATGCTGTCTATATATATCGGATCCAGATTCAAAATTTGAAACCCAAGACGATTAATTTTTACTGTTTTTATTTTCTTCGTATTTCTTTCTTTTGTCATTCCTCAAAAAAAAAACTCCTTTTTGTGTTTTTTTATCCTAAGCAAACTCTCCAACAGATTTCGCTTTCTTCTTAGGCTGATAGTGATAGTCTCAGATTTGGCAACAGCTTCAGCACTACTCTGAGTTCCCTGATTTCAACAACTATCTCGTTTTTATCCCTTCTCGAGCTGAGCTTTGCTTCTTTTCCTCTCTCCGTTTGTTTTCTCAGTAACTAGTTTAGTAGAGTTTTCTTTTCCGGATTTCGTTTTTTTTTTTTTTTTTTGAGGAAAAGGATTTTGGGTATTGATTTGATTGTACGGTTTTTATTTCTTTAATGAAATTTCTTTTTATTGGATTGTGTTTCTCTATAGAATATTTGAATTTGGTGACTATAGGTTTAATAATTCTGTAATAGAATTTGCAAAGATTGTATATTTATTGGATTAACAGCATTTTGGGTATTGTTAGTGGTGAATTTCTGCTGGCCTACCTATTTGCTAGTGGTGAACAAGCCTCGAAAGATAGGGAAGCTGCTGTTTTGGCTCTTGGTGCAACTGGTGAAGGTTGCGTTACTGGTCTTTATTCTCATTTGTCCGAGGTAATTCTTGTTGTTTTTAACCGGTACACAAAGTTTAGAGGCAGATTACAAGGTGAAGAATAAATGGTGCATATATAACAGTCATCGGTTTTCCTTAACTCAATTTATGCTCTTAAATTTTTTATTTTTGCTATTGTATTGCTTTTACTTTATTCTTCTTTGACATGCTTGCCGCAGAATTTGAAAAAAAAAAAGTCAAATTTATGTCTGCATATTGTGGCATTTCTATGTCCCCTTTTAGATCATGCGGAAGAATTCTTCTTGGACACTTTCTCGATTCAGTTCAGGTGTGGATTAAAATTGCTCCATTGGTTGTTTCTCCTCATGCCTATTTTCCTTCTGTTTGATGCTGTTTGGCTGTTAATATATTTTTTTAATCTAATAAATATATATAACCACCATGACCATTTTTGCATCTTATGCCTTTTATTTTCTGTTTTTGGCACGTAGCACTCCTAAAGTACTTTTTGTTGTTTTGTCCATGCATTGGATTTTGTAGTTGAGAGCTTTCGTGTTTCCTTTATATCAGTCTAGTGGGCATCAGAAAGGCTATGAGCAATTTGATGCTGTATGGGTATGCTGCGAAGAATATTGGATGCTAACAAGTGGGTAAAAGAGGCTGTTTAACCGGCTTTTGCAATGCTTGAAGAGGTTATTATAAACTTGCTGCACGTTGTAATTCAGGTTAAATTCTTATAGATTTCAACAATTGTTTTATTCATTTGAGGCTGCTGAAGAGGTTGCACCAAGTTTGGAAATAATTGTGTACACTAGCTTATGCGCGTGCTTTTGTCTAACATCAGGTTTTTTTGGCTGGCCTTTACATTATAATAAGCTCCTTTTACTGTTGCAATTATGACTTATGAAAGCCTATTACTATATTTTTTATTTTGTATGCTGCTTTATCAAAATATAAGTTGCTAATATCTCAAAAAAAAAAAAAAAAGTTGCTAATTATGTTTCTTTTCTATATGCAGTTTTTTGAGTTGCTTCTCTGAGAAAGCTTTAATTGGGTTCATTAAGTTTTATATTCTTACTTTTAATGGATGTCATTCTGATACTTTTTGATGTTATACATTAATTTATTGAAGGCTTGGTGTACATCCTTGGATAAACACCTTCCAGGTTTGTTTGTCCTTGCTTATGACCTTGCAGCAGAAGTGCTGAAATTGGTCAATAGTTTCTTGTTTTCTTCTTGTACTCTTGTTTTTTATTATAATTCTGTTGTTTGCTTGGAATACTCAAATCTGCTGTAAGTATTTCCTAATTTTGCTTATAATTTACTGTAACTTCAAGTCTATAAAAGCTTGGTATGAATCATTTTTCATTTCTGACTTTCCAGTTTCAGCATTGATTTAGAAGATGTAGTATTGGAATTAGACATTTTTTTATCTAGTCCTTGATGTTAATGGTTCTTGGGTTTTTTCTGTCACTAGACCATAAAATTGCTGGGCATTGCTAATATATGTTTTAACTAGAATACTATGAAAAGAACTGTTTCTGTTAACTTTTAATAAGAGTTAACATAAAAATTTTTCTTTTTTTTTTTTTGGTTGAGCTGTTTGGTGTCCTATTGATTACATACGGCTCTTATGGGTCTCCTGCTGAGAATATTGGATACAAGAGGCTGCTTCTTTGGATTTTGCAATGCTTGAAGAGGTTGTTATAAACTTGCTGTACTACTTGCTGTATTTTGGGGTTTAAATCCTTATATATTTGAACAATTGTTTTATTCATTTGAGCTAAACATGTTTTTATCTAGTCGTTGATGTTAATGGTTCTAGGTTTTTTTTCTATCACTAGACTTTAAAGCTCATCGGACACTGCTAATATATGTATTACGTAGAATACTACAATAATAGCTGTTTCTGTCTCCTACAAAATTTTTAGTATTTTGAGTTATTGAATGAATTGTTGAAGTTATCTCGTTCCTTTTAAGCTCGATCATTTTTAGATCAATGTTTTTTGCCTAATGATCAGGCTTGTGTAGCATTTGGTCAGCTAATTGAAGTCCGCCCATCTTTTCTGGAGGTGGGTATCTTTTGTTTGTTACATTTTAGTTTTCTTACATTTTCTTATTGCAGTTCTTTTAGTAGCATGAAGTGTTACCTTTTTTTAGTATCTATGTCATACACTTGTTTCTTTTTATGCATAACACTCTGTGATGTGATTTTTAACTATTTGACAGCCACACTTGAAGAATGTAAGTGGATATATGTTGCAAGTCAATAAAGGCATTGATGAATGATGTGGCCCTTGAAACATGTAAATTTGGGTAACTTTCTTCTTTGTGCATTCCATGTCTGAATGTCATATATTTTAGATTAAGATGTCTTTTAAAACCATTTTTTTATACCCGTGTCTTTTAGTCTCAATGTCATAAACGTGTCTTTTCATGCCTATCCACCACCTTTTTTTTTTTGTTTTTTCTTGTGATGTGATTTTTAACTATTTGACAGTCACATTTGAAGAATGTAATTGAATATATGTTACGAATGAATAAGGCCATTGATGAATGATGAAGTAGCACTTTAAGCATGTGAATTTTGGTAACTTTCTTATTTGTGCATTCGATGTCTGAATGTCTTATATGTAGATTAAGATGTCTTTTAAACCATATTTTTGATAGCTTATGCAGATTGACATGCTTCAAACTAATAGTTTTTGGCAGAATGCAATATCTCTTGAATTTAGCCTTTTCTTTTACTTGCTCACCTCTGCTTGTTCACATAACATGTTTGTTAAACATGTCAGAAGTGATGGAGGTGTGCTTGCCCCTGTGCCTCTGCCTCTATGTGCTATCGAACTATAGTTATAAAAAATTTTAATATTGTTGCCATCAATATTAGTCTAATAATAAAAATATGTAATAAAAAATAAAAATTATTTAAATTAAAATTTATAAGTAAAATTATTAAAGGCATTTTAGTTAATCATTTTTAATATTTTTGGAATTAAAATTTTATTAAGGTGATTTGAGTCAGTCATTTTTAGTACTTTTAAAGTTCAAACTTTTATATAATAAAGAATAGATAATATATAGAATAGGAGATGTGAGATAATATTTTAATGGATGATATATAGATGATTAATAAATTCATATAATAAAGAATATGATATGTGAGAAAATATTTTGATATTGTTTGTAGAAGTTGAAAATTCCATTGATCATATATAAAATATATATTTATATTTACACTAATGTAAAAGTAAAGACTATTACATATTTTTCTAGCCTATTATTCATAAAAGACTGATAAAAATAAGCCAATTATTTAATTTTCTCTTGCTTTTCTCTTTTTTCTCTTTATTACCTATTCTTGAAAGCAATCTTTGTGTACAGAATTTTTTTTATTGATATTTTCTTGCTGAAATGACAACAATTTTGTTGAAAATTCTCCAATTGTGAGGGATTCAAACTTCGGAAGTAATAAATTAAAGATGAATTAATTTGTGAGGAAAGATGGGTCGAGAATTGCATTATATGGATAAGCATAAAGCATTAGATTTTGATATGGTTCTAATACAATACATTAGGGCATTTGTAGGGGATAAAAAAAACAAATTGGAAAGAAGAAAAATTGTCTACCACAAACCCCTAGATCAAGTAGGAGTCGTTGACAAAGAGAACTGGTGACCAACCAAACATGGGTTGGCTACATATTTCCACAATGGAATCGTTTAGGTAGAATGTTGTCTTCCACAAAATAGTAGCAAGAAGTGATGCCTGCTTCTATATGATGGAACCATGCTCGTCTCCAATAAGGATTAATATACAGCACAATGGCAATACTCAGTAGCACCATGACGTAGGACACAACAAAACTTACATAAAAGACATTCATGTCAATTGAGCCATTGTCAGTTGAAGCCGTTGGCGTTAATGAAGATGGTCCATCTGTTGAGCAATTGTTTGGCAACGGTGGGCCACAAAGAAAACGATTTCCCAGGTAGCTGCCTTCTTCGAAGGTTGCAAATTGCGCGGTCCTTTCAGGTGTACTTCCGGATAAATTGTTGTATGCCACACTGAATGAAGACAAGTAAGTCAACCCCACAAGTTGAGAAGGGATTTTCCCGCTCAAGTTGTTGTGAGAAAGATCAAGACTCTCAATTTGCTTGAGTTCAGAAACCGCTGGTGGTATTGGTCCTGTCAAACTGTTGTGAGACAAATTCAAAGCAATGATTTTTCGGAAGTCTTTTACTTCGTGGGGAATCTCACCAGTCAACTTGTTGCAAGAGAGATCAATTCCAGAAAGTAAAGTGAGGACTCTTCCCTTGTAAGAGTAGGATATGTTTTTTGTTGTGAACTCTATTGGCTCATCAGGAGAGAAAGAACTGGGAGCTTGTGCAACAGCAGCAACATAACGGACATACTCTTGGGATACATCATTCAGTGTTGTAATCTTCAGGCAAGGAGGAATTGTACCCGAAAGTTTGTTATTAGAAAGATCAATCAAGCTTAACTGACCCAACTTGCATAACTGAACCGGAATCTCACCTTCAAAGTGGTTGTTATTTAGGAGAAGGTAACTCAACTGAGAAAGCCTGCCAATCCAATTTGGAATGCTTCTAGTTAAGCGGTTATTACTGAGATCTAATGTCACCAAGATAGTGCTGTTACGAAATGCATCTGTGAGTGGCCCTTGTAGCTTGTTTCTTGATAAATGAACTTGACTGATCCATAAAGGGCTGAAGCAAGATGGCAGACTCCCAGAGATACTGTTCACCGAAAGATCCAGAAGTTTAAGATTAAGATTGAGCTGGCAAAACTCCTTGGGGATTGGACCTTCAAGATGATTATTTGCCATGACAATTTCTTCCAAACTTGACATATTCCCCATCCACCTTGGTATCCGACCAAAAAGTTTGTTCTTGCTTAAATCTAATGTTGACAAACTTGAAATATTCTCCATCCACCTTGGTATATCACCAAAGAGTTGGTTATCGCTAAGATCCAATGTTGTCAAAAAGGTACAATTAGACAAACAATCTGGGATCCTTCCAGAGAAGAGATTCCTATCCAGTTGCAACTCCCTCAAGTTTATCAAGTTAAAATTTGAAGAGAACATCGAGCCTTGCAATCTGTTGTTTGACAATATAAGAACACTTAATAAGGAACAGCCCATTGCCAAGTGCTCTGGTAATCCTCCTGTCAATTTGTTGTTAGACAAGTCCAAGGTTCGTAGAGAATTCATATCTCCGATTGAAACTGGAATGCTACCGCCAAAAATATTTTTTGACATGTTCAAAAACCATAATGATGGTAGTTTTGCTCCAATTTCATTTGGAATGTTGCCATAGAAGGAATTTTTGGAGATATCCAACTGTGATAAAGCTGTATGTGAAAGGGAAGGTAACTGAAATGGTCCCAGGAAAGAGTTGTTGGAGAGAACTAATTCATATAAATTTGTGTTGTTCTCCAACAACCAATTTGGAAATTCCCCTTTCAAATTGATGCTAGATAGATCAACATGCCGCAAGTCATGTTGATGATAGAGAAATTGAGGAAATGATCCAACATCTCCACAACAAGATATGCTGATCTCATAAAGTTGGAATGTTGGGGCCAAAGAATGCATCTCGGTTTCAGCATATATGGTATTGTTGTCTGCATCCATGTACCAGAGTTTTGAAAGGTTGAACAAGGGTCCTAATGAGCTTGGGATTTCAAAGTAATTGTTTGAAAGACTCAATGTTTGGAGGGATTTTAGATTCCTAAGGACAAATATATCTCCAGAAAATTGATTGGATGAGAGATCTAAAATTTCAAGGGATGTTAGACTCTCAAGAACAGATATATTTCCAGAAAACTGATTGGAATAAAGATATAAACTTTCAAGCGATGAGAGATTGGAGAAGCACTCGGGCAAGTTACCCCTTAAATTATTGTAGCCAATATCCAAGTTTTGGAGATTTGTCAATTCACAAAAACCTGCAAAAGTAGCATTATGTTAAATAAATGAAGAAGGTGCCATGCGCTGGAACAAAAAAAAAAAAAACAATTAGTCTCTCCATCCCTTATATTTTGTCACTTACTAACATTTCATAAAATTTAGAGAGATCAAAAGGAAAAGAGATAATACATAAAGAAAATTTAAAAAAATTTGGTGTTTGTTTAGAACATAGTAGGTTTCGTTACTTTTAAAAAAGTTATGATAAAAGGTAATATTATATAAGAATAATATATGAAGAGTAACATTTTGTATGGGAGAATATTTCAAATGCAAAAGGGACAACATGAGTATAGGACGGAGTAGGGCTGTAAACGAGTCGAGCCGAGCCGAGTAGTGAGAAGCTCGAGCTCGAGCTCGACTCACAACTCGGAGTTTGATACTCGGTTCGAGCTCGATCGAGTTTTATTTTTCAAGCTCGAGCTCGATTCGTGATCGAATTCGAGCTACTCGAGCTCGTTCGATTAAGCTCGATTAATATGTAAAAATAAGCTCGATTCGTATATTCGACAAGAGTTCGATTATTCATGCTCGAACTCGAACTCGGATTCGAAATATTCTATTTAATTAAAAAAAATAAAAATATATTTAAATATAAAAGCTCGATTAGACTCGCGAGCTACTCGAGTCAGATATAAGAATACTCGAATTCGGTTTGATCGATAAGTCGAGCTACTCGAGCTCAAGCTCGACTCGACAATAATCGAACTGAATTTGAGTTTTTTTCGAATCGAACCCGAGTAACTTGCGAGTACTAATGTATCATTTACACCCTTAGGACGGAGAGACCAAGAACTGAAATCAAAGGTAAGGTATGTATCAATCTCAACCTTGGGAATGTAAGGTGCCATTGAGTCCGCAGTCCCATAATTCTAGATTCTTGAGAGAAGGCATTGCTCCAATTTTTTGAAGAAAGTTGTTTTCCAGGGAAGTGTCCCATATGAACAAGGATTCCAAATTCTTCAAATGAATTGGACCTATTTCAATATATGTATACACGGAAACGTAAGAAGATATATTTAAAGTAACAAAAAAAAAAAGATAATATCATAATATGTATGCAATTAACAATAAACTCGCATCCTATCATAAATTAAAACTTTAACAATTGTATAAATATTTATTTCATACTATTAAGTCAATTAATTAAGATGTTTTATTTTGAAAGAAAATCAAAATACTTTTTTAAATCTAGCAAAAAAAAAGTAAAAAACATATCAATAAGCTTAATGAATTCAGATAAATATTGTTAATAACAAGAAACAAAATGATCAATTATTTAAAATCAACAAATTTCTTTTTTTTCTTGTTTTATATATATATATATATATATGCTAAACTATTTTTCTTTTTTTTATTAATTACTAATTTACATATGAGTGATACATTCATTACAAAATTCTTGTAATTTTAAGTACATGTAATGCTCATTTGAATGGCTAAAGGTAAGAGACATCCAAAAAATAAAGAAATAAAATGGATTTATAACTATAAATTTAAAATATCTAATTTATCATGTAAGTTAAGACTACTGTTGATGTCACCAAATATTACTCTCAAATTTTTAAGAGAAGTTAGCATTCCAATATCTTGAATAAAGTTAGAAGGGAGAGATAAACCTTCTAGCTCCAACTTTTTCAAATTTGTCAAATTTTTTCATTCTATTCAATCAAAGTTACGAATTATGTTTTGAATTGAAAAATATAATTACAAATGACAATCGAGAAAATGATACTACTACTTAATAAGTAATTGAAAAATTGAAAGATTTATTTTACCATGTAAATTGAAGCTGCCATTGAACTCACAAAAATACACGTACAAATTTTTAAGGGAAGTTAGCATTCTAATATCTTGAATAAAATTGGAAGGGAAAAATAAATCTTCTAACATCAATTCTTCCAAACTCGTCAAATTTTGCCAAATCAATGAAAGTTAGAAAATTATGAAAATTAAGAAGTATGTTATGACAAAAAATAGTTGCAAATGACAACCAATAAAATAGTTCTCCAAAATAAGTCTCAAGTATAGTATATGCATATAAGTTATGAGATTTGGCCAACGATTCATGTCTTTTCTGTGAGGGTTGACTCTATAATGTGATAATTTAAATCTTTGGCACTGCTTAAGTTAGGGATTATCATAGAAAAAAGTATATGCAAATATAAATACAGTCACTTTTGATGACTCATTTTAATGGATAGAGACAAAAGTTTTAGTAAAAGGTTCAATATTAAATTTAACATATGTAATATTATTTATTTTTATAATTTTTTATATATTAATCAAATTTATTTACATAAAAAGACTATTGATTAAATTTACCATTAGTCAAGCATATTTGAAAAAATCATTTAACAAAAGATAAAAATCACAATGAAAAAGAATTTTAGGGCAAAAGTTAACTATTAAGTATATGAAAAATTTTCTATCTATATATTGGAATAATAAGAGAAATTATGTTAAAAAATTTTCAAAAAGTATTCAATTATGTAATAAGTGAGAAAAATGGGAAGAATTTATAAGAATAAATAGGGGAAACAAAATGATTTGATAAAATTAAGGAGAAGGTGGAGTGGGGAATAAAATTTTAATTTTTATTGAAATCTGAAAAAAACTTTAAATCAAATTATGGATAATATATATATATATATATATATTTATCCAATGCCATAACATTAAAGTTATCCCATTTCAATCTAATAAAAGAATTTGGTTAACATGAGGCTTGATGTTTTTGTCATTTTCTTTTTTAAAATATTTTTCATAAAATTTTATAATTTTTTATATTTTTCAAATAATATGTTCTATTTTCAACAAAAATAATTCTAACAAAATTAAATAATTATTAAAAATAAAGGAAGTAAATAGAATAAAAATGAAATAAAATAAAAAAATTGACAATTTGAGTAAAAAAAGTTTTAAATATTTAGAAGTGATAAAGAAAAGAATAAATATGATATAATTGATTAATATATTTACCTAACTTTTAACAAAAAATTAATAGATAAAAAAATATTAATCAACATAATAAAACAAAATTAAAAAACATTCTCCTTGTTTTCTTAAATTAAATTTTCATAGATTTTCTGGATTGTCTCAAAATTGTTTTCATTTCCTTTAACACCTACAATTCATATTTTAGAAATTTTTCATATTTTTACTCTTTAGAATTTAAATATATAGTTTATCAATATTGCAAAAAAAGTGAAGAAATAATGTTGAAATAATAATAAAAATTTTATTTGGCTTATATAAAAAAAATAAAAAACAAAAATTGTCACACACTATTAAAATTAAGTTTAAAATTATCTAAACAAAAAATTAAGTTCCAAATTGGGATTGAGGTGACATGGTAATAAAAGGTATTTAATTCAAATAAGAAATAGATAAAGAGTAAAATAAATGTTTGACCAGTACCTTTCCCTAATTGGTTAAATAAATGTAGTTAATAATAGTAATTATAAGAGAAAAACATTACATATAATCATCATAACTTACAAGTAGCCAGTGTTCCATTAAAACTAACACCATACAATTGAAGAGTCTTCAATGATGGGAACAAGTCCAACGATTGCGGTGAAAGGCTACAAGCTGCAATTGATACAATTATTACAACATGAAATGTAAAGAAGTTAGTAATACAATTAAATCTTTCTGTATGATTTGTAAATACACATATTATATATTTTTATTCCCCCAAATTTAAATTAAGATGTACTTCCCTGTAAAAATAAATGTAGTCTTTTGATTCAAAACAGAGAAAGGCACAATATTAAATTACAATCAATTTGAATTTGCTTTTAATTTTTCTAATGAAAAAATAAAACAAAACCGTGGTGTTTTCAATTTTGTGCAACCCAAATTTCATTAATAATCAGAGTTAGAGAAGTACAATATTGTCTAGCAAAAGTTTACATAGACAAGAGCAATTTAATATTAATATATAATTCATTAACATTACTGATTAATCACTTAAATAAAAAATTACCTAAATGAAAGAGAGGGCAAATGTTTCGATTAGTTTGAATTTTAATTTCTTAAAGTTTTTAGACGTGTAATTCATTCAAACATGCATGAACAAATTGATGAAGAAACAATTTTGTTTTAGCAGTACCTTTGGTGTAATAGCAGGATATAAATAGATTCTCCAAATTGCTCAAAGCATCTAACCCTGAGAAGAATCACAAATAAAAATATAATTAAATTAAATTAAAAATAAAAAATGATATTCTTGCATTTGTGCTTTAAAGCATATACTTAAGTATTATATAATAATAAAATATCATTTAATAACTCTAGAAAGAGAGAAAAGAAGGAGAGGGGGTAGTTTTACCTTTAAGATTTATTGATCCGTTCAAGTTGTCTCCTAAAGACAAAGACTTTAGATTTGAAAGCCTACCAAGGGATGACAATATGCTATAGTTGAAGAGATTCCACCCCAAATCAAGCACTTCTAGATTGATCAACCTTAGTTCCGTTTCATTATCTGTATAACATTAATTTACATAATTAATTTCATTACTTTTTAATTTTTTAATTAATTCTAAATAATTGAAAACTCTTTTTGGAAAAGTACAAAAATTTCCACTGAAATATTCCAGTTTGTAAACATGTAAATTATACATTTCCCAACAAATTGTGTTAAATACCTTTGGATGGAGCAAAGTCATTCACTTGATTATCCGAGATATCTAATTCCACTAAATTAGTCAAAGCATTCAATTCTGAGGATAGAATTACAAAAAAAAAACTAGTAATTAATTAACAAATCATATAAAACCCAAACATATATAGATTTTAAACCATATTTACCTTTAATATGTATCGACCCATCTAATTTGTTTCTTGCTATATACAAAGACTTCAACTTTAAGAGCGCAGCAATGGATAAGAATACGCTGTTGTTGAAGAGATTTTCACTTAAACCAAGCACCTCAAGTTTGATCAACCTCAATTGTTCATTCTGTGAAAGATTAGTAACATAATTTTATCTTCAAAAGAATATCTAATTATTATATATATTTATTATTCAAATTCATTATATGTTAACTTACACTTTGAAATAAAGATCCGAGACTCCCAATTTGATTTTCGCCTAAATACAACTCCTTTAAGTTTGTCAAATTATTGAATTCTGTTCAAATCAAATCAAATATATATCAATCTAGTTATTCCTTTTTAAAACCATGAGATTTTTAAAACAACCCTACCTCGCAAATTAACAGTTCCTTTTAATCCGCAATTCTGCAAACGCAAAGATTTTAAAGATGTAAAATCATCTAGATGTGATAGGATGTTGTTTCCTAATACATTGCCATATAAATCCAGAGTCTCTAACTTGTTCAATTTTGATAACCTCTTCATACCTGTTTTCAATAATATTACAAAATTTTAGTAAATAATCACTATTTTATAAATATATATATCTCAATTACAAAACAAACGTTATTTACTTTAACCTGATTTTTATATATAACACAATATTAACATTACCCTCTATCAGATTTGACCCAGTGAATTGGTTTTTTGCTAGATTTAAAGACCTGAGTGATGAAAGTTTGCTTAAGGATGCTAAAATGCTATCATTGAATTGATTAACACTTAAGTCAAGGATCTCAAGTTTGTCTAATTTCAGTGACAGCTTTTCAAAACCTACAAGGAAAAATGTAGCATTTAGTGACTTTCCGAAAAAATTGAAATAAAAAATATTTAGATAAGATGAACAAAACTGGTAATCAATAAAAATGAATTTTCAAATGCAAAATACTTATTGAAGTAGCAGTTAGTAATTAGGTGAATATGAATTAACCTTGATTGTCAACACAACCAGCAATAGAATTGCCACCCAAATAAAGACTCTTCAATTCCTCAAAAGGAAGAAACAAAGAGGCATTGAGATACCAAGAATCTCTCCCACTCCAATCGTACTTTCTCAAATAATAATTATAAACTAAATCACCATAGACTTCAGTAGTTGTAAGATTAAGGAAGAGTCGGATCACTCGTCCAGTGGAGGTGTTGCACTCAACCCTTTTCCACTGACAACAATCTGAACTCTGTTTTCCCTCATCCACCCAATAATTCTTTACATCTTTAATATGAGTAAAGAAAGGTTTAAGTTGCAAAAGAGCAATTTTTTCTTGCTCCCAGCACCTTTCACATTCACAACACCTTCCTAATAGGAATGCTACCAAAACCACCCATAACCATTTCCACTCCATCTCAATTAATTAATGCACTCTAAAAAAACTTAATATTAACTATGCTGCTATGCATTTGGCATCACTATATCCATGGGGTTTATCTACTAAAAAGTCACTTGAAAAGATACAGCCTTGTTTCTTAGAATTCATTGAAAATGGCACACTCAGTCTTGACGTACTTGTCAAATTCCACAGCATTAAGAAAACACATTGCATGAAGCTTCCTACAAATTTTCTTTGTGGAAAAGTAAGCACAGATTCTGACAATTATAATAAACACTCCATCTTAATTATAACATCATTAATGTCTTGTAGTGACACTGCTAACAAAAATTATTGCTTACTTTTTTTTTCTTTGTAAATCCTTATTAAAACTTTTGTTTTGTTTTTTTAATTTAATTTTTTAGAATACTTTAGTATCCCTTTTAACAGCTTCATTTTTTTTTTTGTTGCTAAAACAATTTTAGGATGTATTCCATAGTAAAAAAAGTGAAAAGATGAATAAAACAAGGTGAAAAAGTGGAAAAAAATAAATTTTCGCTATGTTTGGTAAAAAAGAAAAATTAAAAAAAAGATTATTATTTTTCAGACTTATTAATGCAAATAAATCACTCCAAATGTAAAAGAAAAGATGAAAGAAAATAAAAGAGGTATGAGCATGTGTTACATATTTATAAAATTATCCTGTCATATTTAGATTTTTTTACAAAATGTTATAATAATAAAATCATATTTTTTTTCTTTCATTTTCTAACTCTACCAAACAATGAATGAAAAAAATTATATTTTCTTTCTTTTTCATTTTTTTAACCAAGCTCAATAAAAATAAAATATATATTTTTTATCTTTTCAATTTTTTCTTTCAATTTTTTATCTTTTTATTTTTCTATCCCATACTAAGCAAGGCCTCTATTTAGTAATTTTTTTTTTGTTTGCCAACCTTGCTAGGGTTATTGCCAAATTTCATGTCAATATTAAATATTTCCACAACTAAAGGGAGACATGATGGCCCATTGTAGCTTTTCTACCTATATCAAGTTAGGGAGGAAGATATTACATATATTAATTCATTGTCATGACTAGTTGATGTCTAGACTTTTGTTTAGCAACTGTATTATTATTTAGGAGACCTTGACTTTGGCATCAACTATGAAATAGAACAATGGATCAGTCTACACGCCAACCTCATGATAGGATGGTGGATTCCTCCTCTCTCTTTCCTGGAAGATATAAATTTGGTGTGGAAGTAGTCAAATAAACAAAAAGTCATCTTTATTACATTGTTTGCTGTGTTTCTTGCTTCTACTTGATGAATGGTTTATAGTCTATCAAAAGACTTTGACTTAGCGTCAATTGACACAAATTATTTGCAAACTAAAAAACTATCGGTTATGCAAGGGAATAAGAATATATAATTTATTCTTTATTTAATTATTGATTTCATTATATGATGATATTTGTTTATTTTTTGTTAAATATTTGATAAATATGCATTTTTTAAAACTTAATTACTAAGAGAAAGGTATACTAATAATTTTGTTATTTTTCTCGGCTATAATTTTTTTTTAAAAGGAATGTTAAAATTAGTGGACTTTTTTTATCAAGTAAAATAGGTATGGGTGTTTTATTCCTTCCTCAAACGATTTAGTTTTCAATCTTGACAAAAAATTTGGTATAATATTTTTAATTTTTTGTAAAATTTATAAACTTTAGTTAGATTTTAAAAAATTTATACTGATTTATCCAAAAAAGAACCGAAAATTTTTTTAAAGCTCCTGACATAAAAATTATTAAATTTTATAATTGCAATGAGCTGCGACCAAACTCAAAGGAAGTTGGCTCAAGGGGAATGATCAGGTCTGATCTATTCCCATAGTTGTAGACCTGCTCATAGCTTTAGGTAAGGGATTTGTCCAAAATTTACTGTTAAATGAGAATAAAATTATCCCAGCCCCAAGATAGAAAAATGCGGGAGAAGTTGGTGTTCAATTATAGGAGGCCGATAACAACAGGCCCTATTGATATTGCCACGGCCCAAGAGATTAATGTTCACAAATAGGAGCCGAAACTGCCTGGACCTCTTAGTTATGAAGACGACCGAGCCCAAAGGTTCATGGTGACTACAACAAAGAAAAGGCAGGCTTGGACTACTGTGATCATACAATATGGGCAGCACTGTTTCAGGACATGAAGCCCACTTGACTTGACCATACGTCTTTCTTAGTTTTGTCTGGAAAGGTGAGATCAAATGTTTTCTCCAATAATAGGGACAAGCCTTATGTCTGGTAACAATTGCTTTTTAGGTCCAATATTAGCATATTCAAGTAGTGTGGGACAGTTTTTCTGTGATCAACACGCATGCCATAGTCTATATTCTTTTCGAGTTCATCTAATCTAAACTTTCAAGAACTATATACATGCTTTAAGCTTTCTGGTTTCATGGGATCTTCATTAGTTGTAAAATCCTTCATATCGGCAACCATCATGCCTTGCAATGAAAAAAAAAATCTATAGATTGTGAGCTGTGAGCTTTCTTAGAACTTCTTTGCCGATTTCAATGTGTGCATCTTTTTGTGCTAAATGAAACCAGTTCATGAACTGACTATCATAGTTCCATCAGCAGACATGCTCAGCTCAGCTATGGTCTGAAAATGAAGATTAAACTGATAGAAAGGATGGTACCCATATCTTCAATATCGTAAGGTGTTTTACACTGTATGCTGCTTGACAGTAATGTTTTGAGGTGTAGACGTTAACTAGCGGCTATAAAACAATACAACTAGTTTCATCTTCCATTGCAATGTGGTCGATTTGGCTTAGTCGAATTCTTTAATTCTTTAACATATGTCTGCCAGTGCCTTCAAAGTTGCAATGAATGCCAACCTCTTTTATTCAATTTAACTAAACATTGTAGCCCACGGTATCTACATTCTTTAAATTCCTGTCCATAAATACAAAGAAATATAACCCTCTGTCTGTTCGTATAAACAAAGGGCCCCACCCTGCTGGCAAATACACAAGACAATAAATAACTAAATAAATAAAAACAATAGCAAAAATTAAAGGCTACACCTTGCTTGTTTTGCATGGATTCAGAGGTTTGCTAATTCTTGACAAAAGTTGAAAAGCCTCCTTAAAAGTTGAGAAACAATTGGGATTAGGAGTTTTATAGCATTGGCCTTTTGCACTAGGAGATGGACGACTTAAAGGAACAGGTATGGTAATTGGAATTTTAGATGTTTGCAAGAGTTGCTGAGAATTTAGGATACCAGTAACTAATCACAAGAGGTAAGGATTTAATGATGATAATGAACAACAAATTTTATGAATTTATATGCTTGGAATTTCTTATATATTAATGACCAATTAATGTATTTGAAAGCTTTTATGAATTTACATAATAATTCAAGTTGAAGGAGCTATTATCTAAATACTTTTATAGAATAAAAAAAATCAGAAAAGCAGTATCTAATAAACAAATTATTTATTCTAAGTAAATTGATGAAGATATATTGGCCATTTCCTTACTGTTTTTTAGGCAAAATGAAGAGATTTTCGGTTATAGATCACTAAATGTATGCTACTGTACATAATTCTTTTATGACATTTTGTGTTTGAAACCAAATGACTCAATACATATATCAATATATATATATATATATATATATATATTTTGAGGTTAGGCAGATCTAACAAAACCAAAATTCAATGAAAAAAGGAATACAGAATTAGACAAAGAGCCCCAACATGTCGTTTTCTTTTTCTTCTAGTAGAAGCACGATAGAAAGAGTGGCAACTTATCCATTTGAAATAACAACCAGCCATGGCATCACCCACCCTCTTGATGCCATTTTTGAGAAGAATACAAACAAATATTTTCCTTAGCAGTAGGCCCTTTGAAGAAAATCTACAAATCATCAAGAAAACTTCTTTTGAAGAATTGTTTTCCTGGTTTCAACGTCATCTGAACTGACCAAATTCACAGGTTGGATAAGAAGATTGAAACATAAAAACACAGTTTCTTCACAAAGAGACAAACAATATTGTTGAATTCCTTAACGCCACTTGCCAACTCATTGTCATACACATCATTGTTTTGTAAGAACTATGAAACAAGAACTGGCATAGAGAATTTTAAAACCTTTCAAAACTCCAATCCATCCTTATCCTATCATGAAAGAAAAAAGGAAAAAACAGATCGAATCGATTATCATCATCGTCATCAATAATCCCTCGTGGCTGGTTCATGCACATGGGGCTTGTCAATTATTGTCTTGACCCTCAAAAATAGAATGAAAAGTACTTCAAAAATTTTCACTGACATTGAAGAGCCCACTCGAAAGTGCGAAATTAGTAAACTACAATTGCAAAATTTAGTACATCAGCATCAGCTCATCTGATCTGAAAGTTGTAAAACAAACACCAATTCCTGAGTCAAATGATCTCTAAGATATTTGATGATGATGATGATGATGATTAGATCGAAGGGAAACAATATTTGGTTGTATGGTGCTTACATCACAGGGAAGTTTGATCCATCTTTTTGGCTTTGGGTGAGAATCTGACAGGCAACATGGACCTCCTCTCAACTGGCCAAAAACTGCTATGATCACTTGGAAAAATTTTCTTTGCAAAGTAGATATGAATGGTCCCATATGCAGGCTGTTGCAAAGCCATCACAGCTTTCATATGGTATGTGGGTTGGCCAGCGTTTTCCCTTTCACAATTTGAAGGCTTTCAGTTTTCTGGACCCATTTGGGAATTGGGAGCCATCAAAATAAAGAAAAAAAAAGTTTTAATTTTACAAATTTCATTATTTGCGAGAAATTAAGTTTGCGTGATAGGAGTATTAATCCAAGTTAACAGCATTTACAGCTATACGTACGGGAAAATTTTAAAATATATATATTTTTTGAATTGATAGATTAAATTCTTTTTCATAGAAAAGAAATGAGTGAACGATCATTTCTATTAAAAGAAAAAGAGTAGTATAAAATATTGAAGATTTAATTATAAAGTGAGTAGTTACTAAAATTTAATTATAAAGAAAATTTATTATTTTTTAGATTAATTAATATATGATTGAAATTGATATTTAAAAGTTATAGATTTGAATAAATTTAAGTATATAATATTTTATTCAACCACCTTTGTAATTAGATAGGAAAATTTTTAAAAATAGATTAAAAATTAAAAGAAAAAAAAAAGAGAGTCATGATGTGATTACCAATGCACAAATTTTAATTTGGGTGTAAATAATCTTTTAGCTGTCAATTTTTTTAATTATTCAAAATAATTGTGTCTGTTGTGCTTTTAAAAAAATAAGAAAATGGCAAAATCGAAGCTGTGGATTCCTGTGGGCTTGGACCAGTTCTTGCAATTGTAGTCATTTTTTGTGCTAATTTGCAACTCTCAAGCGACACCTGAAAAATTTTTTAGTTTCGCTTTATTATTGTGAAATAATTTTTGTCTTCAAAACTTTGTTTCATTTTTTAAACGTAAATATTTCTGTTTTCTTATCTTCTTTAATTAATCATATTATTATTTACCACCTTTCCCTTCTTTTATCCTTTATTAATCCCCCATTAGTACGATTATTACCATAATTTCAATCAAATTTAGGGATGGTCCAACTGAGTTAAAGTTGATAATTTACTAGATTTCATTTTCTTCCCCGACGGTAAGGTCATCTTCAAGGTCTAAGTTCGTTCAATTTACTTCTCCCTTGCGTGTGTATAAGTAGAATCCAGTTACGTGAATTTCCCACAACTTCTCCATTTTCGATACCTGTAAAACAAGAAAAAAGAAGAAAATTAAGAATAAAACTATCAACTGTAAATCAAAACCTAAATTAAAAGACAAAACAAAATTATGAAAAAAATTAAAAAAAAAAAAAGAAATACAGACGGAAGAAAGAAAAAGAACGGGACGAGTCAAAACGGGAAAAGTGGAAAAAGATCAAACGGAAGAAACGGCTGAAATGGAAAACGGGAAATGTCAAACCAAACGGAACACCAAAAAGAAAAAAGAAATGCGCTGGAATGGAATGGTGTTTGGAGAACAAAACAAATGGAAGATATAATACTTGAAACCAATCAACACTGAGATCTGGCCTGGGATTGTCAGATTAGAGTTAATTTGATTAGATTAGATATTTTTAAGAGATTTTAAGAGTTTTTGTTTTTGTCCAAAAGCTCCTCAAATTTGCCATTGGCTGCAAATATGTGTATTTACACCAGCAAAATATATGATAATATGTTCCTCGGATTTTACGGTTTCGGTCACCGGGAGTACACTAAAATTCATTTCCGTCCCGAATCCTTCGTTCAGATTTCCAACTTCTTCGCCGCAATCTGACTTCACCGCCACCGTCCGCGGCTTGACTCCAAAGTTCGATCTCCAATCACCGGAAAATCTCGGAGACTTAACCAGAAATCGTTAAAAGATTACACACACCGCAAAGGAATCTTCATTAATCCTCGGCTTTTGACATCACGGAGAGCCGGCTCGGCCTCGGCTGGAACGCTGCGCGGCGACGCTGCTGGTGAGAGGAAGGTCTAATCAAAGCCGACAAAGCTCTCTTAACCAGATCTCCTTCGACTCCTCCGATTCTCACCAGCGAGTTCGTCATAGCAGACCTACGCGCGTTGAGCCGATTATGAGGCGCGCAACTTGTCACCGCGTGCGAACTATTAAAACTCTTATGAAGGCTGCAACGGAACGATCCCGGGTGCGTCGTAGGGGAACACATGCAAGTCCGCTTCGGCTGTTTACTCTGTAAATTCTTCAACACCTCGTTGTTTCTACGGACGGTAGTAATCGAACGGTTGGGCGAGATCGGACGGTTATCGAGCGAGAATCGCACGGACGGCGCGGATGGAGAGTGGTTGTAGAGATTGACACGTGGTGGAGAGATAGATCTGTGTTGATTAAAGAAAGTTGAGGAGCGTGAAGAAAAGCTTGAACTTGAATAAGCAAAGGCCGAAGAAGAAGATGATGGAGACTGTGACGTGTAGTGAGAACTGAACCGGCCAGAAGGGGAGAGAGATCGGAGAACCGGACCGCTCGATTTTCTAGAAGATTTCGCCATATGTTTTTTTTTTTTTTTGGCAGAAGAGAGAGAAAGAAAGTATGAGAATTTTTTTTTGAATTTCTAAAAAGCCGCGTGTGGCTGTTTAGTTGGGCAAACCTAGCTTTACACGAGCCACGTATTTATAGGGGGAGGGCAAGGGTCTGACCGTCTGGGTTTTGGAAATTTCGCGATATTTGCAAAGTCGGGCTTTTAGTTCTTAGTTTTGCTATTGTGCACCTAAATTTTTTTAATTTATTTTTATACCCGTGGAATTTGTTATTCTTTGCGGCTGTACACGTCATTGTTATTTCCTTACTTTCCCTTTGCTTTTCTTATGATATTTCTATTTTCCTTTTGATTAATTACAATTTATAATAAATATAAAGAAGGTTGGGAAATTATTTAATGCATAAAATATTTCATAAAATTAAATGAATTTGCAATAGCTAAGAATATTTAACTTGTTTTTGAATATAAAGTAATTTTATTCATTTAAAAATGAATTAAAATGCATTTAAAAGAATGGACCACTTTATTGTCATTTTAATGCTCAACAATCTAATTATATCAAAAAAAGACATTACAATATGGTATATTTGATAGCATTTTAATTTAACTGTGCATAACATGATGTTTACCTAATTGTAATCAAGTATAACTTGAAAATTACTGCAAATGATAAGGCTTTCTTCAACTGTGGTGGAGATAATGAGGAGGCTTAACATTTTAATTTGAAATTAAATGTTACCATGGTTCGAGTTGCCTACCTATTATTTAGGTCTTAAATAAGATTTTTTAAATTCAAGATCGATTTTACTCGTGATATATATTATTATAATAATATAGAATTATTTTAATTTAAATTTCATTCAAAATATAGATATATTTTAATACTAATTAATTAGTAGTTGTCAACAGCATTTTATCATAGTTGTTGATGATTTTTTGAGTTTGGTGATTGAATGCTTTATGAAGGAGCTAGCAAAATGATTAATTTAGATGTTAGAGTGATCTATTATAAAGAATAATCGGCGAGCGTCAGAGATAAGAATTTAGAGTGTTTTCTGATATTCAAATCAGCAAAGATGAAAAAAAGGAAAATTAGAAACATGGAAGAGAAAAAGGCAGCCAAGCCTAATTATTTTGGTCACACACCGAAAGCACTTTGTCAAAGCCAATTTTAGGTATTTCGGATCAATGATTCATTTCCTACTCAGAAGATTCTCAACTTTTCTGCAAAACTCCAATGAAAGACACGTAACGCCATGTGGAAAGGTGGGTTTGACAAAGTCAGTATCGAACAAAACCAAAGTAATTCAAATTGTTTGGGGCATGCAAAGACGTGTTACCCACACTGTTGTTCTGTTAAGTTTTAGAATATTTGATTTGATTGTTATACCAATTTCAATTCCATTCTCGTGGAAAGATTTAGTTGGATTTAGGTTCAACTTCTCAACTCCCAAAAACCAATTACAAATTGTATGATTAATTATTTATGAGTTTAAATTTAATTCAATTTATTTATATAATTATTTTTAAAATATAATATTCAATAAATTTAAAATTCAAAATTTAAAAAAAAATTATTTCATTTTTAGATTGTAATTTTTTAAAAAAATTAAAAAAATTGGATCAACAATCTCAAACTCTCTCTCTCTCTCTTTCTCCCTCTCTTTAGTTTCCTTTCTAGTTTAATTTTCATTCTCTCTCAATTATTCTCCTCCAAATACCAGAATTCTAAGCCAAACGCGTTTAGAATATTATAAATAAAATTGAAAGATTCTTATGTCATAGACAATGATTATATTAATCAATAAAATTAATTAATTAAGTTTGAAGGTACTGATTAAGATGGCTTTGATTATTAACTTTGTTTTGGTATAACCTTTGATTGTCATGTCTATAATTATTTATTTGGTTGTCTTTCATCACATCATTGATTTGTTTGTTTTCAATTTTACCAAAGTTGTTTCCACTTATGGATTTCATCACTTAAGAAAACTTAATCACATGAATGAATAATGATCAAGTAGGTAGACAACCAAACTCATATTCAAGATATATCATTGTCTTTTTTCTTATTGTTTGCCACCCCTTTTGGTTTCGAATTCTTCCTCAGCCTTCCATTTTTATTATTTGATTGAACTAGAGAAAGTGGGAAAGTTCAGTTAATATCTGAATATTTTCATGACAACCTAGTGTCCAATTGAGAAAGAAAAAGTTTGAAAAAATTGAAGACAACAATGTAAAAAATGTTAATATATAATAGAATTTGAATTTAATATAATTCAATTTATTCATATAATTATTCTTAAGAAATTATGTCTAATAATTTTAAATTTTAAATTTTAATACATACAAAATTTTTTATTATTTTTAAATTACAATTTCTTTTATATTAAAAAATTAATAAAAGTTATTTTTTTTCTTTAACACTTGAAATAACCTGAATGGGGGAATGGTCTGAATCCCTATAATATCAACTCCTCCATGTGCAATGACCTTTGTTTTGTTTATATATGGCAGTTAAGATAGTTGTGCTTCCACGCAAATATATGGCTCAATGGCCTCCAATTTGTTGTGTGGACTTTTCGGCTTTGAAAACTTCGTATTCAAAAACAAATTAATAAATTTGATTCACTTGTTGGTTTGTATTCTTTTTTTCACATTAAAAGCATATTACATATAATTATTATATTATAATTAATCAATTGAAATTTATAATTGTTTATTTTCATGGAATAATTATAATAAAAAATTTGCAACTGAAATGCTCCACATGGTGTGGAAGCCCACAGATTCCGAAGCCAAGAGCCAACCGTTTTTATTGATTGATTCCCGTTCCACTGGTCAAAAGTCAAGCTTTGTTTGAAGCATACGATTTCTTACCAGCTGGTTGGCTTGGAGTTGGAGATACCAAAATTTGTGCCACGTTGACATTGGACTGCCTCACGCTTGATTTGAAATTAGATTTGAATGTTTGGCTTCAAATTCAGAATCAACAGAATTTGGAATGAGGGCAGGTAAGCATTTGTTGTTTTTTATTTTTAATTAAATAATATAATTAATATATAATTTATGAATTTTATTATCGAATGCTCTAATAATATTTTTTTTATATAAAGAGATAACAATATAGAGATAGATCAAATTTTCAAAACCCATAATTTATTTGTACGGAGTTAATTGCATTTACTGTATTCAACATTGTTTCAACAATATGCAAAATTGAAGAAATTATCATGTAAAACAATAAGTTTATTAAAAATAAAGTTTTAAGTATTTATAGAAAAAGTTAATTTGATACATTGAACCCTAAATTGACAGTATAAAAAAAGTATTTAATTAATTGAATAATTTTTGAAAAATATTCAAATAGTTGAATTACATTCATTGTATCTTTTAACTTCAAAATTAAAGCTTTTAACCCATCAAAGAAGCCAAAAAAAGAAAAGAAAAGGCACCAAGGGCAATTCTTGCAACTAAACCACAATGTATGTTCAGGAAACTGCAACCCCAAGCCTGTTTCTGTTGCCATTCAATAAACAGAACCTGGAAGGCTTAGGCTGGAAATTCCTTCTCCTTTGCATGTCATGGCTCGACGGCTTGATGATTTGAAGCAGAAACGTCTTGATGGAATTTGCTTTGGTAACCACAGATAATTCCGAGTGACTTTGTGAGACACGAACCACCCTTGTCCAACCGGGTGGCTTGTTGAAATTCCTGTGCATGCTGCACCTGAAGGATCCTGGATGTGTGGTAGGGGAACATAGGCATGTGGGGGTTTGTGACTTGGACTTTGATGATGCATTTTTTGAGGCCATGAGAAATTGGGATGGTTCAAAAAGGCTTTGATCAAGCGGAAAGTGGGGGTCTAGATGTCGATAATTTCTCTTGTTTGTGTGGCAAACTAATGGCAAGTTGGCGAAAATTGGGGTTTTATTGCTTTGAAAAAACCTGTTTGAATTACCTTGGTAACCTTTGCTTTCATAGTTTTTAATTAATGGCATGATCTTATATAGTGTTTTGGGTAATAAGAACAGTGACAATTGGTTAAGTGCAATACCAAGTCAGACCATTTCGTTTTTCATGTAAATTTGGAGGAACAGACCAGTCGTTACATCGACGAATAATTTAATTTTCCTTTCAATGTATGGAACCAATTGGAAATAACCAAGTTCTATTGGCTCTATTTAATGGTCACTGCTAGATACATGCATGACAATGAAGGAGAGACATTTTTATTCCAATTTCCAACTATTAAAATGACAACTAAAATTGGCAAAAAAAAGGTCCTAAAGCTAAAATTGCTATGGTGGTCCAGTGCCATGGACATTTGAGCTTGAACCCTAACAAAGGCCAGTTATGGCTTCCTTTCTTACAGTTTCATTCATGCCCTTTCAAATTGATCAATTCCAATTTAATATTTCATTTATATTTTTGAAGCCCAGAAATGGCTTGAAATCTTCAGATAAAATCAAACTAAAACCCTTGTAAAAGGCATATAGAAACCAATACTCTATGCATAACCTCTACAAGAAAAAAGGGTTATGGCCTCATAGATAGAGTGAAGGTCAAGGTTCTTACTCTTATACAAGACACTGCTTTTATATTTTGAAAGAATATAAAACATCTCATTGAATCGTTTTTTATTGCTTATCTGTCATGCTCAATATCTAATTTCAAAGATGGATTTAAATTGTTAATTTCAGAAAGAGTATCAAATTTGAGTTAAACTTGGATTGTTTGCTTATCTTTGAGGTCGGTTGTGTGGGGGCAAGAGACATACAGCTTGTATGAAATTAGCAACCTAGCAAGAACAAACAGCATAACATGCATCATCGTCCCCTTTATAAAACTTGACACGTTGTACAATTGTCATATTCAAATCCACAAATGGAGAGACCCTGATCACACTGATAAAGACCTGTTACCAATTTTCCAGACAATTTTGATTTTGGTACAATTTTACAAAGGAATATGTTGAATGTCACAAAAACACTTTCATGGGATGGAGGGATGATTTCAGAAGATTTGGTGATATGGGTTTAATTTATGATGTCTTCTGCCATTGATAAAACAACCTACATGCATATTAAAAAAAACCCATATCAGAACACCAGAATCCTTGACAATCCCAAACCCATAAGGAGAGGAAGAAAAGTCTGAATTCTGCTCTTTCTTCTTCTTCTTCTTCTTCCTCTTCTTCTTTTTTATTTTGTTTAAGTATGCATTGTGCTTGTTTATGATCATCATGATCCAAAACTCAAAGAGTTACATGGTTGGGTTATTATGTGAGAAAAGTTAAAACCAAAAGAGATGCGAGTCAAATTTATCAATAAAATTTATTAATTTTGAAACACAATTATTTTTATATTTTTTAGAAATAATATTAGGAAAAAAAATTGTCACCTCCTATAATATTTTCCTCATGGATTAGCTTGTAAAAGAACCAACTTTTATTTTCACAGAAAGAGTTGCATGGTGGGTTGTGTGTATAGAAAGTGATATGGCAGTTGATCAAACTCTCTTACTGATGTTGATTGAAGGCAAGCATACAATCTATCTGTAGTCCATTAGATAAGTATATCATAAAGTTACCTGCCGAATGCCACTTTTTTTTTTTTTGACAGGATCTAACTTAGTTTTACCCCCTAATTAATTTCACCTTATAAACTTGCTTATTTAGGTCAACCTATGGAAATCTAGGTGTAGCTAATTTAATTAATTTTTTTATACAAAAATAATTGCGAGAAAGGGATTGTAATGAATACATGAAATGGTCAAATGGTGATGTTTCTTGTTGTGTTGTCATTAGTTGAAATATGATAATAACTTTTGTATTAGGAAATCTTTCACATATTTATATACAAAATCAACTTGCAACGAGAGTTACAAGCATATTCTTGAATTGAAATGTTACAAGCAAGTTTTCCTCTCCAACCAACATGAATCCGACAGTGGCAGATGCTACGGGGCAAGATGCTCCTCCTAGGCACCTGAAAAATGGGAGAAACTCTTAAAGCCGAAAGATGAAGTCCCATCACTCTTTCAGATAAGATAGCCTGTGTTTTTGCACCATAGGAATTAACTAAACTCTGGGTCTCTTTGGGCCTTAACACTGAGCCTAGCCACTCAGTTCAAAGCAACCGCAATCCTTATTGCTTAACAGCTGAAGAGCTAAGTTCCATTCAATTTGATGTTTTGGTTATTTATTTTTTTGAAAAAAAATGAACAAAAATATCAAGCAAAAGAACCTAAATTAAAATTTTCATGCATGCCATGAACCAGTGGTTTATAGCCCGTCGGTGAAGCTTGACATTAACAAAACAAAAGAATTTTCTGTTCTTCATGAGAGAGATGCAATACACTTGGAGAAAATGGTCAAGGTTCATGGAAAAGAAAGTCATTCCTTGTGCATTGCTATAGACTGCATTGCACAAAGATTCAAGCCTAGGGATAACAAACATAATGTACAAAATTTAGCTATGTTACTCAAAATATACAAGCAAATTAACAACCTGCTAATTGGACTTGGTGTCCTATCCACCCTTGTATAGGCCTTCTAATCTAGCATCGTACCGTTTAGTATAAACACGGTGCCTTCTCTCTCTTGCATAGATTACCCAGAAGATCAATGACAGCATCACAGCAGCAGATACAATTACTAATCCAATGTAGATCCATTGACTATAGCGCCACAGACCAGGACAATAATCATGACTGATATCTGTGAATGTATCACGCACAAAAGTGCAGTCTTGCAAATTAACCAGGAATGGACCATAGCGATACAAACCATAACTGACATTCACTGCAGCTGACATCTGAGTGTAAAATTGAGGGGTCAGCCGTCCACGCTTTGAACAAATCCCAGAGGATGAAACCTGACAGGTATAGTTCTTCCAAACCTGTTTGAAACAGATATAGGCGGTCATTTAACTTTAGTTATATACATTAAGAAGAAAACTGAAAACGTTATAGTGAAAAGTTTTTGGATAGGCAGAAGCATGGAGACAGGCTGAGAAACTAAAACAATAGATAGATTCTAAAACCTTTTAAGTCTTTTTACCCACACATAAGGTTATTACTGCTCCAAACAAAGCCAGAAGTCACAGCTAAACACCTTAAATGACAGAGCTTGCAGTATACAACATTTTATAAATAATTCTGCAACCTGCGTAGATGAGCCTTGAACTGGAGTAATATAATTGAATGAGAAGGAATTCTAGAAAGTATCAAACAGCTAAAAAAGGATCACATGCATCAACTTGTAAAAGATGCAATTAGGACAGTAACTAGCCTTAGTAAGTCTGTCAGCATAAAGATTGGCCTTGGTGTTTGGAACTTTTTAATTAACTTAATCACTGCAGTCTTTGGGATGAATTTTTAAGTCCTCTGAATGACCTAAAAGTTATTGTTTGAAACTAGGCTGAGAATTAAGGGAATTGAACCCAGGAGAGAGTAACTTGGCAGGCTGAGGCTTGAAATAATTGAGACTAAATCCATTTATTTAAGCTTTTGGTTCCAACATGTGCACTACATAATTGTGCGCATTGCATCTGATGCATGCATACTTATGTATGGCAAAGCAATTTCAACTTATATTTGGAAAGGCTATTTATTACCTCTGAGGAATCGTACAAGCTAACTTCACCAGATGCACATTGCCGATCTGTGAGGTCAGAATGAAATGGGTTGCAGAGAACTGGGACCCGTGGACCAGATTGATTGTAATATAAAGGTGCCGATGATGGAGGGAAATTTTGGTTGACAACATTATTGATGACGCCATTCACCACATTCACAAGTTGGTAACTGACATTCTTGGTTCTTAATAAAGTCTCCTGGGCTGTTGCATTGTCCACACATGGAAGAATGTCATCTAATGCCGTATGGGCAGTGGGATTCTGGACCCATTCATCCATGGCAACACACGCATCTCCTACGACACTGTGAAGCATAGGAGACAATTTTAAGTTAGAGAGTCTATCATATTAAAGAAATGTATAAGAACAGTCTTTTTTTTTTCTTTTGGCCAAGTATAACAACAGTCTTGTGCACATACAATAACCTAGAAATTAAATCTTAAGCTATATCACACTTAACATGTTCACAAATCAGATTATGTCAGAAACTTGCAAATGTGAGGAACATAACAAAGATATGTACCTGCAATCAGGTGCGAATGAGCAAATGAGGGAGTAGAGGAAACATATCAAGAAAATGACATTTGTTTTTAGAGAAGTGATATTGAATGATTGGTGCATTAGATTCCCACAATTCATTATTGATTACATGTATATTAATAAGTTGACAACAGGAAAACCTTTTAGTCTCAGAAAGAGGAAAAACAAAGACAGACAACAGAAGAACTTTAGATATCAAGAAAGAAATCTAAAATTTACCAAGAGCAAATAATCAAGTAAAAGGGATGGGATTTGGAAAGAAAGTCATAGCATAAGTAGCATAGAAAGGAAATTTGATCCTAAAAATTTAAGTCTAAAAATTGGGTGTGGCATAGACTCGTGTGGGCAAACCTTTATCAACTTCTACATTCCATTTTATCCTCACCAGAAACCAAAACATTCCATATAGCATTAAAAAGAATGCAGGAAAGATTTTCTCTAGTCAGCAAGGTTGTGGAATTTCCATCGGTGTATAACTAAGTAGATATACCACTCAGGTGTTATACGAGATTAAAGAGAGGCCCAATTTATATTTGGTCATAACTCACAACCAAGATAATGCTCCATTAAATACTTAGTGTTGAAAGGTAAAAACTAAAAATATATGAGTTCTTCTGAGAGAAAGGAGGGAAATTGAGCAGAGCATACTTGTGGAGGAGATGAAATACTCCACACAAAATAAATGTGCCAGCAACAAGAATCCACCCAAGGATCACCAACCTGCATTCATTAATTATAGAAGTGTTTGATAAGGGAAGTGCATTTAAGTAATATAGGTTCCCTTACTATTTATTATGAAGCATACAACTGAAAATACATTAATGATACTTCACTTACGTGTACACCAGACACTGCAATCCAAGAATGGAGAATACTGCAGCCACTCATCACAATAATAGCATAACGTTTAGATGATATTGTAATAATCTAATCACTAAGAATCTCGGTGCGATGAGCGAACAACAATGTAACTTACAGAATCCAAGAAATGCCAAAAAGAGCATCAAAGCAGCAACAATGATAAGAGCCAATCTCCTGCAGCATTTAGCCTGAGATCAGTTTGATGATCGGCACTCAAAGATTATTATAATTTCAAGATTATAAAAACTTCAACCTACATGCCGTCCAAGCCATGTTGAATTTTATCTTTATTATTGCCTGTTTGAGTAGAAAGAGTCGAAGCAGAAGAGTTGATCTTCTTTACAACATCATCGATGCTTTTTTGGACATCTGGGGACAGAAAAACTGAATTCACGGTAATTTTCTTAGCTGCAGAAAGATAATCTGACACATTCCTGAGGTTTTCAGCAGTAGCATCTGCCTTATTAACAGCATAATCCAGTGTGTTTATTGTACTGCCATGAAATTTTCCCTGACCAGTGTACAGCACAACACACCCGCCACTGTAATATGAAGTTAGATACTGAGTGAATAATCATATGGTTACATAAAACATAAATATCTTGAAAATTTTAAAAGAGAGAGGGAGTAGAGTTACATTGCAGCAATGGTGAAGAGCATAAGGAGAATAAGAGATAGTGCATAAGCTGTCCTAGAGTAGCCATAAGAATCTAGTTGACAACAACAATGACGGATACATATGATGAACAAGCATAGTGCAAATATCACAAACCAGACTGCAGCAATGACAAAGAAAGGAGCCGCCGTAAAACCCACAGACTGCATTATAAGCCATAGAAAAATGATATTAAATACAAAAAAAAAAGAAGAAAGAATATACTTTACCAGTTAGACAGATGAAAAGTTGAAAAAGAATATGAGATACTAAGGAGAGTTTTAAGTTTAAGTGCAAGTGACTGACAAGATAATTCCATTCAAAATAAGATTTCTTATTGAGATTACATTATAAAAATAAGACAAAAGAATAAAATCAAAGATGAGGGAAGAACATAGGGAAATAACATGATTACAAGTGTCGTAACGGTTTTGTGTTTGTCCAACGAATTTGAAAACAAAATTAAAAATATAAAAAAAATAACAAAATCGCTATCAATATTTTTTAATTAGGTGCGATTGATCACCTATTAAAATATATCCTTTTAATAATAATAATAATAATAATAATAATACAAAATGGTGTTTACAACGGGACTCAATGGACTAGAATTATTCTCAAACATCTAAAGCCAATTACAAAAACATAGTAGTAAAGTGATTTCTATGAAAATCATAAGAATACAAATAAGAAAATCAGCTAAAAACATTAGAAATTCAAGGCCTCTATGCAGCAACAAAAGCGTCATTCATTCCTTTTTCTGAAAAAGGATAAAAAGAAAAAAGAGTCCGTCAAGTAACCAAACACAATCAAACCAGCGAACTACAAGTCTACAAGTACATAGAAAATTCATGACTCTTGGCTTAAATATCTCAATTTGTCAAAAAGTACCAAAATGACATAAAAAAGTGAAAATTATTAAAACCATATAAGTAAGAATTAAAATGATAATTAAAATGTTAAGAAGAGAAGAAACTGACAGCCCAATAGTGTTCATTGCTGATATTCCAGCCACCTGTATACTTCTTAAAATCATTAGAGGGTCTATCCTATTAGTCCTCTTTTCAGCCAAAATCAAAGACGAGTTGTCTCCTTCGCTTCCCTCTGCAAGGTTTCTCCTTTCTATATTCCTCCATGGTAAAACTCCAATGTGCTCTTTATCCCCAATGACAAGACTTTTACAAGACCCTATCAAAGAATTTTAAAAAAAATTAAACCAACAAAAAAAAAAACCAGAAATAAACCCAAAACTTTACTTTAAAAAAAAATTACCTGGATGTGTTAAAGTTTGAACATTTGAGGCGCCAGAAACTAGTGATGTCTGAAAAGAAACAAAGAGAAAAGGAACAGAGAAATAATGCTAAGGGTTGGATTTAAACATACATTATGCTTTTACTTTTGTTGTTTTTTCTTCTCTGTTTCTGTTCTCCCCGTTTCCTTCTCTGGGTTTTCGAGGGGTACAGAGAGAGGAGAGGAGAGGGGAGATGGAGACGGTTAATTGCAATATCAAAAGGAACGTCCTAGCTTTTACGTTTTGGGAGGTGGTAGATGGGTCCCTTCATATCTTGTCTACATTTTATTTTTTTGACCAAAATACCACGATTTTTTTTTCCTTTTTACTGGATGACTTTTTTGTTATAAAATCTAATGGAAACTTGAGTGAAGGTCCTTTTTCCCGATGGTTTTGATTTCATAAAAATATCATTAAATTTTGAAATAATTTAATTATAATAATATAATAATAATATTTCAACTAAAATCAAATTTTTTAATTAAAATATTAAAAATAAAACTTATTTATTTATTGAAATTAAAATTATGATGTAACTAATTAAAAAACACCAAAACTCCATTGAAACTTTTTTTTTTCCTTTTGGCCTTAGATTTTGATTGGATTCTGGAGTTATAAAGTTTGGATTTTTCAATGATGTGAGTGCTGACAAGATCTGTTTTACACGAATTGAATTTAAAACTCTCATCATAATCAAACAGCAAAAACTTTATACAAGAGATAAAATAATTTAAGAGTGGGCAACTTTTTCGTGTTTGGTCTGACAGTTTGAATCCGAGTTTTGCCATAACTGGCTATTGATTTAACTCTATCACGGCCATAAAAGACTCGGCTTTATTTTCTCTTTCCTTTTCACTTTTAAGTCCAAATTTCGATATTCAAATTCTTTTGAAAACATTTAACATTTGCATTAATTGTTAATAAAACACTGTTGAATTTTTAAGTAAGAGAAAAAGATGTTTGGCTAGCTTACCTTCCCCTCCTTCTGTTCCTTCCTTTCCTTCTCTTTGTCTGAGTTTTTTTATTATTATTTTATTTTCAAAATTTTTTTTATTTTACAGATTTCAAGTTTTTATTTTAAAAATTAAAATAATTTTTTTATTTTTCAACTTTTTTGTACACAGAAAACCACAATTTAAAAATTAAAAAAATTTATAAATTTTAAGATTCCAACTAACCTATTGGATTTTATTTTTTTATAATTAATTATATAAATTAATTGAATTAAATTTTTTATTTTTATTTTTCAATTTTTTATTGATATTGTGTCAATCAACTTATTGATATGACGATTATATGCAATATTATCGATTTTCTTTAACAATGTTAGAATTCGAGGGTAATTTATCTTGTAAAATTGAGGTTTAAGTACTTAAAATTTTCATTCTTTAAGTATTAAATCATAAAAAATAATATAATAAAAAATAAATATGTATTTAACCACAAAAAAATCATGTTCATATTTTTTTCCTGATTTATCCATTGTAGGTAGAATGGTACTCCTTCGGTTGCGTACTTTGAGCTTTTAATCCAATTTTGCCAACCAAATAAAAACTTGAAGCTTCCACGATTAATGAAAATGGAAATTCAAGGTTAAGACGCAAAATGTTTGGTATACGCAGCCTCTGCTGCGTCGAATTTTGAGGCATTTAATTCGAAAATAGACAACCTAACCACATCAACATTAAGCTTCAATTTTGACAACTCCGAATCCCAACCCAATACATCGAAAGCAAGCACCGGCTAAATGTTGACCTTGTTTCATCACAGGGTTTCTTGCTACATGTGGCATGCACCTAATCATGTTAACTTTTTTTTTAGTAATCATCTAATCATACACATGGCTAATTGATTTATAAACATTCATTCCAAAAAGTTACAAAGATAAATTTAAAATTTAACTTAATTAATTTATATAATAATTTTTAAAAAATAATATGAAAAGTTTAAAATTTGAATATTAACATTTATAATTTTTTTCAAATTATGATTTTTAAATATATATATGAGAGATGTTATATTTAAGGGTTGGAACTGGCCAAGAAGGCTTTGAGGTTTTGATTGGAGTAGGTGATGAGCTGATGATATATTTAGATTTGATTTCTCAATAAACGTAGCCTGGAAGCATATGCTGTTTGCTCAACGCGTTTATTGGACTTTTAAGGCAGGCAAATTATCGATTTCGTTTTCACTTACCAATGGCAGGTGCAGAGAATGGGGATAAAAATATAGATATTGCAAGTAATGTATGGTTGACAATGGGCATTATATAAAATCTTACGGAGAATGAACTACCGAATAGAATAAAAAAGGGGACAAATTACAGTAATTTTAATTTTGATACTAATATTTAAATTTTAAATTTATTTAACGATAATAATATTTTTAAAAATAATTATATGAATTAATTAAATTAAATTTGATTTTTTTACCTCAAATTTTGCCTTTAGTACATGATATAATTTGCCAAGGTGTCCCCTGAATTATAAGAGACAGGGATAATATGTATATTCCATCATAGTTCTTAATTTATTATTTCTTTTTTCTTGCCCTATGGTACCTCAGATTCATGTCTAAAAAGGATGTATAAAATTTTCAATTTACAGCAGTAACAGCACTAAGAGATCTGCAGGGTTCAAGCATCCAAGTTCTATGGATTCCCATAAAATTGCAGAACTGGACATTAAAATAAGTTTTCTTTGTTTGGGGTTCAAAATTTCATTGATCAGCAGCATTTCAGCAATGTCTAATTAACTATTTTCTTTGGGTTTTCTTTAATGGGATTCAGCTGTTGACACTAGTGGTTATATCATATGTCACTAAAGCCAAAGGCATGAGGGATGCAAAATGAGACTGACACCTTTTAAAGTAGATAAAGAAGATTTTTAACCAAAAAAAAAGAGAGATATTGCTCGTGAGATCGGATTAGTCAGCTAATCAATCATTAGGGGAAGAGTCTAATCTTTGTTTTCAAAGGCTAATTATAGAGTCCAGGAAATTGATGTCCAACAACCTTTGTTTTCATCGAGATTTGAGTGAGCTTATTGATGTCTTTCAACTCTTTTCTTTCTTTTCATAATGTAAATTTACAAATAAAACAGTTTTTTTTTTCTCAGAAAATCATATTTTAAAAATAAAAAATTATAAATATTAAGATTTAAATTTTAAATTTATTATATATTATTTATTAAAAATAAAATGAACTAATTAAATTAAAATTTAAATTCTTAATATAACAGTTTTAAATCTTGATGAACATGTATCAATGGTCTCAAACACTTCAATAATTAAAATTTGGGACTTTAATTTAGAAATTTTAAATTTAAATTCCGATATGGGATTTTACAAGATTTGAAGAGGACTAACTTAATTCCATTTGTAACTCAACATCGTATGGACAAAAAATAATAATAAACAACGCATTCCAATATGGCAGGGTCATACAAAATTTTAGTTGTATTGTTTTATTTCTCTTTTTGTTCGAAATGCTTTAAAAAAAATGTTTATACTTCAAAATAAATTTAAAAAAAATCATAAATTTAATCAAATAAATAATAATTTTGAAAAGAAAAAAAAAACAATTCTTACAACATAGCACAAAAGCCAACAACAAAAACGTAACCTTAATGTATTAAATATTTTTTAAATTTTAATATTTCTATAAGATTCAACATATGGATAGGAAATATATTATTATTATTTTACATTAAAAAAGTAACGAAAAATAGATAACCCCAACGTAATGGGGGGGAATTCTAATATAATATAAAACAATACAGCCGGAAGAAAATTTCAGCATCGGCCAGAGATGGAAACAGTTGGTTTAAGTGATTTTTTTTTTTTCTATCAAATTAATCGAATTTGATTTTGAATTTTAATTTTTTAATTCATGTTAAAAGACTGCACTGGTCCCTATACTACAATAACTTCTTTAAATTAATTATATTTTTTGTTTTTCTTAAGTAGTACTGGTATTATTTGTTTTTTTGCAGCCTTTTCTATATGTTAAAGCTGCTTGTGTTATGATTTGACTGGTCAAAATTTTCTGGTTTAAGTTCAAAAGTTAATCTCGCTCTCTCTGTCTTCGAGGTGAGACGAAATTGTCTGTGCTAGTTCTGGAAATTGGAATGGTCAAGAAATGAAAGCCTCACAATTACTCTTCCATTCCATCATATTAACAATTTTTTAGACCATCCATCATGAGCATATGAGACTGAGGAGCTGGCAACAAAGATTTCATTTTATCAACTTGCATAATAATAATTGGTTTTTTCTTTTGTTTTTTTAAGGGAACAAACCTTTAAATTTTTAATTACAAGAGTAGGGTTAGAATCTTAATTCGTTTTGCCAGAGTTTCACTCCTGACCATCAAGGTCAAGCCCCAAGTTAATAATTAAATGCATTATAAATTATCAAAGGGTTTTTTTTTCTTCAATATTTTGGATTTATGAATTTAATTAGCACGTTAATACAGAATTTTATTTTGTCTTCGAAAAATTAGCTAGCCTTTCACAAACATATTACCAGGTAATAGTTTTAGTATGAAATATGTACTATATATGGAGAGTCTGAAGAATAGAACAATAGAGTCCTCCTAATTCATGGCTTCAATTAATATAAGTAATCATATGGTAATGAGAAACAAAAAAATATATATATATAGTAAGAAATTGTACAAACATTTAACTTGGAATTTGGGAATCACGTGATGCCATTAAGACAAAACCCCGACCAAGTGAATAAATTAATTTGGAAAGAGATAGAGAGGGTGAGAGAGACAGAGCTTGAAGCATTTTGAAATTAATGATTCAGTCAAAAATATCAAATTAAACTAGTAGTAAAAAAATTGTAATTTAAACTGCTTTTGTTTTTTTTTAAGTTTTTTTTGCTAACATAGAGGAGATCTATGGGGAATGCCTTTTCTTCTACTCATGCTTGTAGCCATGTCCTCATCAGAAACCTTAGTGGCTGATCTCCCACAAAAATATAGCCCACTTCTCTTCTTCCTCACAATCTGATCACTGTATGCCATGCTCATGTTCTCTGACGACCCTGAAGACCAGCTCATTGGCTCATCAGTACTGTCCACTATTGTTGAATGTGGTGTCTCGTTATTTGTCATTTCATCGTCTCCCATGTCTTGGGAACCAGGAAGTCAGGGCTGAGTGTTAAAGTGTTGCATGTTCTTAAGAATGGAGAGAGGTCTTTGCAGTGTTCAGCACAAAATCTACCTGATAATAATTCAATTTCAGCAGACAAATTGCTGATCAACAGTATTCCTCCAAGTAATTTAATTACCAAATCAAAATTCAAGTGAATATATATTATATATACTTGCACCCCAGAGAGCAATGGATGAAAGGTTCTTGGAGACTTCTGTCACAAGAAGAACAGTAGTTTCCAGCCCCTTTGAATTGCCTGTTTTGAGGTCTCTTCTTGATGAAACACCACTTTAGCACTGTTTATAGTATAGGCCTAATCAAATTAAGATCATCATGATCAATTAGCAACTGTGAACTGAATTCTACAAGAAATTTTAATTGCAAGACCAAAATTGAACTTCATTTTTTTCTTCTACGAAATAAATAACTAACCTGAACATTAGAGCAATCTATAAGCTTTTGAAGATCTTCCAATCTGACAACATCATGATATACATATCGACGAACCTGAAGAAGCCTGTGAAAACGATGTGAGGGTATGCAATGAGGGCAGATACTAATGCAACAATCCAAACAATACACGTTCTTTTCGTTCTTCTTTGCAGTTTCATGGTATGAGCACCCCACGAAGAATTTCTGTGAGTAAAGGGCTTCCAACCATGCAGGCTTCTGAATTCCCTAAGCACCATGAAACCAAAAAATAAAACAAAGAAACAAAAAAAAAAATCAGCATCCAATTAACCCGTGAATTTACTAAACCACAAAAAAAAAACCCAATAATATTTTTGACAGAGAAAGACAAACCATGATCACCATAAACACTTGAAGAATCGAGCCCTCTCCTTGAGCAGTAGCAGTTATCAAGACAGTGGAGTTAACAGAAGAGAAAGAGGGGGAAAAGGGTATGGTGATAAGAGTATTTATGGAGGTTCACACGAAAGGGAAGGGGTATAAATTTATTCCTTGGGGAGATACACAACATTTTGTCAATATATGGCCCATTGGTGGGGAAAACCGGGAAAGGAGAAGAGAGAAATGAGGAGAACGTGGGTGGTGTTTCCATGTCTCCCATTCTAGGCCACCCCTTTAAACAAAATTTTCTATCTCCTTGGCTTAGGAGCTCCATTTATATTTTTTTGGATGGTCTCACTTTTTATTTTCTTTGATTCTGATCATGATCATCGTCTCTTAGTTGGTGAAATTGGTTCTAGTCTTTTTCTGTTGGGAATTTGAATTAAACAAAATTAAGACTAGTGTTTTAAGATTTATGTTATAATTTGTGAGTCTAACCTTAATTGAGTTAATGGACTGTTGATTCATGATGATAAAATAACATAGGTAACAACTAAACAAATTGTAAGGCTATTACAGGTGTCTGATCTTAAGAAGTAGGTCAAGTAGTTGAAACCCACAATTAAAAAAAATTAACAGCCTTTAATTTACTATTAAAAACACATTTCTTCTTGGAAAGACGACATTTATTTATTCTGGTTAAATGTTGATTTTGCATAACATATTCTTTCCAAATTTATTATCATCCTTGGTATGACTTCAAAGCTAAGTAATTACTGCAAACATGGTGGGAATGTGAGTATATACTCTGAGAGTCCTCAAAGCATGGAGCTCCAATATAATAATTTTTTTAAACCCGAACTTGAATTTTCGAGTAATTAAAAGATATATACACTTACAATCGAATTAAATTTAGCTAATTAAGCTTTTAATACGACTCATTAGATAGGAATGAATTTGTCAATTTTGACCTTATTGGCATTTGAACAAATTGGAGAGAACATTAAGATATGAAGGCATGAATTTTAATCATAGAAAGAAACAAGAGTGGCAAATCAAAGAAGTATTTAACAGGAAAGAAAGAAAATAAAGATTCCCCCAATCAATCTCTCCTCGCCAAGAAGTCTAATATACCATCCTTGTAAATGAAGAAAACTTTGTGAGGGCCAAGGGCACCGTCGGTGGAGGATCCAATCACATTCAAATTATGTTCTCTTGCAAATGTTGACCTTAGCCCTTGTTTTTATTTGCCGTCATGGGGTTTTTCTGTTTGGCCAATGCCTTTATGGGTTCAATGTTTGATTTTTTCTCCAAGCAAAATCGTTGCATGGTCACAAATTAAAAACTCGCTTTTTTTTTTTACGAGAAAAGGTTAATTTTTTTATTATGATGGACATGTTGTTCTCGATGGTATCGTATCTTCTACATTTTTAAATGATAACAATTAATTGGGGAAGACTAAGAGAAAATTTTTTTAGTTGAAATTTGTGAATTTATTATTTAAATAATTAAATAAAAATTTAAAACTCATAAATTGAAAGTTTTTACACATAAATCAAGTGTATCAATTTTGAAAAAAAAAAATAAATTTTGATATATTTTTTAGATAGCTATTTTTAGTAAAAAGTTTAACAAAATTTCTATCATTGAATAAATATTGATAAATTATAAAAAAAAAATTTAATTTTTTTATATATTATTGATTTTCTCGTTGAACTTTATAAATTTATAAATTTATAAGTGTTGATTTTTATTAAAGTTTTAATTGAATCATTTTTATTAAAAAATTGCACAAACTTTACCTATAAAATTTTTATCAAAGTTTGTTCACCATTAATTAGTTGTGTATATTGTATTATTAATTATAAGCCGAATCCCATGCCCATAAATCTATGGTTTATAAATTTTAGTCACTATGTATCTTTTGGTTGGTATTAAAAAAGAATATTTGAATTTTATCAATAGGAAATAATCATTTCATTTACCTTACCCGAAGCAATTATTATGGTAAAATGGTGGTAATTATGTAACCAAAACAAATGGTGGTGAGTGAAGGCACAAGTTTAAGGATACATGCCATGTATCTTGACCGGTGCTATTGCTTTCATTGCAGCAATCACTCAACCTGATGAATGTAAAGCTAAAAACAAAGACATGCACGAGGAAACCCGGTTGTTGGGGATTCAAACATTGCAACATTCAATAACCCAACTACTCCACTAATCAGGTTTAGCTACGTGGCTTTAACAATAATGTGATTTTCTAGCAAACAATTGACAGACAAAACACAACTCATCAAGCACTAATATGTTAAGAGACTCATTGTCCCTTAATTAATTTTGGATTAATTTTACTAATTTTGAGGTGACCTAGTTTCCTGTGCCTTTAAGCTTCATCCAAGAGCTAATATTGGGGTTTGTTAATTTTAATTTGAAACTCCTAATCTTAATCTTGTAGTTAGTCATCAATCATAGCATGCCACATCAAAATAGAAAAAGTGATACTACTCTCTTATATAGTTGCCTAGCTAGGGTTAGCTTAATTTAATGCTAATCTAATATTTAAACCAATAACATATCATACTATTTTCACCCTAGAGACTAAAGTCTAATTAAGTATAGGCCAACATTTCTCCATGCACGTTTCTAACTTTCCAAAAAAAAAAAAGTTTAATTATTTGGGCAATCGTTACTTAATAATTCCTCTTTTTAATTAATTAATTTAGTTGTTACTTAATAATACATTTCTAATTAATTATATGCTATCTATTCAAAATATATAGAACATAATATATTAGAAATATTATTCAAATCTCATAAAAATTGATAAGTTATTTTTTATAAATATTTTTAGATTTATTAAAGATATTGGTTGGCGATCAACAAGCTTAAATAAATGCAACCACGAGTGCAAAAGTTTTACTAAAATTTGGGAATTCATGGTCCAATTTTGGCGTAGTGTTGTACTAGCTGCTGCTATGTAAATAAAATGATCCTGCCGAAGAAAAAAAAAAAAAATATATATATATATATATATTGTTCTTAATTAAGTTTATCTCAACAATGCGCACCGCAAGTATACAAAATCAAATTTGTGATGTCAAGTGTTTTTAAGTATGATTTACGGGCCTGACTTTTTAGGCTAAATATTAGTAATTTGAAAGACTTATGTTATTTAAATTTGAAATTTAACTCATCAATTGATTTATATTGTAATCTTTAAAAAATTAAAATTCATCATATTTAAAATTTAAATTTTAATATTCATAATTTTTTTTCACATTTTTATGTTGTAACCTCTTTATTAAAAAAAAAAAAAAAAAAAAAAAAAACCCTTAAATCGGGATCCAACCTTTTTTTTTTTTTTTTGAGTAAAATTGAAAGACTTTGGAAGTCATGTTTCTCGAGTATTATTTACGGAGCTTGAAACACTTGGGTCACTTTCTAACTCACTCATGACTGGAAGTCTTTGTCTTTGGTTGGTACAAATTTAATGCGACTAGATTAATCTTTGTCTTCGTAGGGACAAATTTAAGACGAGTAGCTTAATAGAAATCAAATTTATGATAAATAAATGTCAAGTTTTTTTAAGTATGATTTACGGGCCGGACTTTTTTTAGGCTAAATATTAGTAATTTGAAAGAGTTAAACTTATTAAATCTCAAACTTAATTCATCAATTAGATCATATCCTCATTTAAAAAAATAAAATTCATTAAATTTTAAATTTAAATTTCATTATCTATATTTTTTTATATTTTTATATTGTAGCTTCTTTTATTTAAAAAAAAAAAACCTTAAATCGCTTTAGAGGTCCAATCTTTTTTGAGTAAAATTAAACGACTTTAGAGGTCATATTTCTTGAGCATTATTTACGGAGCTTGAAAGACTTGGGTCACTTTGTATCTCACTTGTGACTGGAAGTCTTCGTCTTTGGTAGGGACAATTAATTTAAGACGAGTAGCTTAATGTCAAAATATGGGATGGAATTTGCAGTTCTCCATGACTTTTTGATCCAGTTGATAGTGGCGTAATTTTCGTTTTCAACTTGTTTTAGCGTACCATTAATTCAAAATAATAAGCCTTTAATGGTTACAAACTTGCAACTACGTACAAAGATCGTCAGATAGATCCCATAACAACCAAAACATTTCCAACATGGACATCAGTCAAGGAAACAACCCATCTTGCAGTTTCCTGGTATATTTTTTTCTCTTGCTACTGCTCGTGTCTTCATGTTCAGGCAATAGCAATGTCAGCGTGAGATGCATGGAGACTGAGAGAAAAGAACTTCTCGATTTCAAGGAAGGTCTCATCGATCATTATGGAAGGCTTTCCTCTTGGGTTGGATTGGACTGCTGCAAATGGCAAGGCGTAAGATGCAACAACAGAACTGGTCATGTCACAGGGCTTCACCTCGGAAGTTATTCCTTGGAGGAAAAATAAAACCTTCTTTGCTTCACTTGAAACATTTAACTTACTTGAATCTTGCGGACAATTCTTTTTGTGAGAACGAGATTCCCAAGTTCTTTGGCATGTTAAACAACTTGAGATACCTTAATCTCTCTCACTCATGCTTTGCTGGAGAGATTCCACCTCAGCTTGGGAACTTATCGGCCTTGAAGATTCTCGACCTGAGTTGGAATAGCGGTTTGCATGCAAAAAACCTTCTTTGGCTTTCAAGTTTTTCTTCACTGGAATATTTAAATCTAGAAACAGTGAACCTTTTTGACGTAGGAGGATATTGGTCGAAAGCAGTGAACATGCTTCCATCTCTTGTGAGTTTATATTTGTACCATTGTCATCTTACAAGCCTCGATCTTACCCTCCCATCAGTCAATCTCACTTCACTTGAGGTCCTCAATTTGTTTGGCAATTCAATTAAGTCTCCAATACCGCCCTGGTTCTCCAACCTAACCAATCTTGAAGTGCTTGACCTACGATCAAATAACTTCTATGGTACCATCCCGGGTTGGTTTGGAAACTTGTGCAAGTTGAGAATTTTGAGAGCCAATTCTAACCGTCTTGAAGGTGGAATTGTTCAGTTTTTGGATCGTTTCTCGGCGTGCCAAAATAATAGCTTGGAGATCCTCTATTTAGGAGGCAACGATCTAGAAGGAAGTTTGCCAGCATCATTAGGAGCACTGAAGAATTTGCAAGAATTTGACCTCAACACTAATTTCTTTTGGGGTTCAATTCCGGCTTCTATAGGGAACTTATCATCCTTGAGATTCTTGGAACTTTCTGATAATAATCTCAATGGTACAATTCCCGAAAGTTTTGGGAAACTCGCTGAGCTGTCTATACTGAGTCTAGTAGGTAATCAAATGGAAGGTGTTTTGACAGAAACCCATTTAGCAAATCTCACAAAATTGGATTCTTTGAGGCTCACAACATACCCAAACAGGTCACTGATTTTTAATGTGAAATATGACTGGGTTCCTCCTTTCAGGCTTACAGTCCTCTTATTAATAAATTGCCAGGTAGGTCCTTCTTTTCCAGTTTGGCTTCAAATTCAAAGCAATCTTTTCTATGTTATAATTTCAAATGCTGGGATTTCGGACACCATTGAAGAAGAATGGTTTGCCAGATTATTTTCTAGATGTTGGCAGATAGATCTGTCTAATAATACAATCAAGGCCAAGCTACCCACACAACTTTACTCGACAAATCTGGATATAGTTGATTTGAGCAGGAATCGCTTCGAGGGCCAGATCCCATTTTGGTTGACTAATGCAACGCAACTGTATCTTCAGAGAAATTTATTTTCGGGTTCTATTCCAGAGAACATTGGGGAACAAATGCCACAGTTGGAACATTGTTTCTTTCTCGGAACCAGATAAGCGGTAGGTTGCCATCATCAATATGCAAAATGAAGGGACTAATATTTCTCTCTGTCGGGCACAACAGATTCTCTGGAGAACTTCCAAATTGTTGGAGTAATTTGCAAAGCTTGAAAGTTCTGGATGCCTCAAACAATAGCCTATCTGGTAAAATCCCAAGTTCCCTGAGTTCGTTACATAACCTCGTTTTATTGATATTGAGCAACAATAATCTTCGTGGCAATATTCCTTATCCTGATTGCCGGCAAGTACCTAGGCTTTATGTTCTACAGCTTCGGTCGAACTTGCTTGAGGGGAACATTCCTGAACAACTTTGTTGTCTTTCTGGAATCCACGACTTGGATCTTTCCGACAATAATTTTATCGGGTCCATTCCGAAATGTTTCCAAAATTTCACTGCCTTGAAATATGGCAATTCAAGTTTGTATTACGAAGAGTTATTTGAGCTCCAAGACAGTACCATTAATGAACAGACACTTCTGGTTGGGACTAAGGGAAGAGAACTTGAATATAGCAGAACCCTTCTACAGGTCAAGAACATTGACCTTTCAAAGAATAATCTTACAGATGAAATACCGGATGGGATATGTAGCTTGGCTTTTTTGGACACCTTGAATTTGTCAAGAAATCATTTCAGTGGAAGCATTCCCAAGAATATTGGTGATCTGCGATGGTTGGAGTCCCTTGATCTGTCGTACAACA